ATAGTGTAAGGTTGGAGACTTCTTATATTCCTCTGGCAGTCTACCTTGTTCCTATTGGCTGTCTCTTAAGTATCTATACATTTGTGCCTCATTCTCTGGTGCTCTAGTTCTCTATACTTGGAGACGATAGTTATACTTGGAGACGATTTCCGCTGCAGTGAATCAACACTGTACAAATGTTCTGGGCTGACATCATTAAAGAAAAAAGAGAACACATTGTAGATACAGACAAAAATCACATTTGGGGAGAAGTATTACCATTTCACTCAGAACTTATAAAACTCTGGCTGACAAAGGCTTTGCAATACTGGTAGGCAGTGTTTCGTATACATGCTTTGTAATACTGGGAGGTTGCAACTATTTTAAGATATTGCAGTTCAACTTCTAGATTTCCTCAGCCTGCAGTTGAAGTCCACACATTCTAAAGTTGCCTGACATTGGGGAACACTGATTGAAGAGAAGAATTTCCACTGCAAATGTTGTAGTTGGATATATTTGAATTTATGTAGCAAAGTCCTCTTTCCATTTCTGAAAATGCAAATTGCTCACTGTGCGTCTACCCATTGATTTAATAATGTTACAATCCAGCTGCATTGAAACAAAGGGATTGATGGTTAAAAGCATGAGTCAATCAGGGTTGGGATTATTTCTGTTTGTCCATCTTTTCTCTTCATTGGGCCTGTGGCTACTCCCTTCCTGGTACCCATAGAACAGCCCTTTATGGAAACTGCCTTGATAATGATGCTGGCAGGCTTACTTTGAAGTACTGGGATTGATTTTGTTCTAAAGAAAAACTCTATTTTATGCATGGATATTACTTGTGGGTCTTGTTATATACTGAATGCTGCTTCTGTTTATAGCTTGCTTATTGCCCTTTCATCTATATGAAGTTTGGAAACAGCATATCATGAATACTCAGTTATACTTGCTAATGCTAGCATCAACTTTTCATTTTTAGGAAGTGTTTTTCATCATATGTAGAGGAATATGATAATAACTTGGAACTAGTTACATATGCTGTAGCTCTGTGTCTCCCCACCTTACCAACTTACCATGTGGACATCAGTATCCAGAATTCTGGAAGTTGCAGTCCACATATCTTAAAAATTGATAAAGTTGAAAAACACAGAGCTATTCTATACTACTAACTGCAATAGTTCTCAACCATCTGCTTTGTTTCAAGCATTATTATTGAATCTGCTATTTTTATTCTTCTCTCTTTCTTTCAAAAAGGCCATTAACTTTCAAAATATACACAGTGACACAGTTTTTAATCATTAACTACCGGTGCCAGTTTGCTAGTTAAATTATTGCTAGGTATTAGTCAAACATTTAGCACAATTTAAAACTGCAATGTTAAATTTCATTTGTTGGCCTTTTTATTAGATAAGCTAGAAATGAAAGCAGCAGGGAATTTAATTGGCAGTATTTTTTTCTGGTTAAGTCATTACTTTGATGAACTTCAGAGCAATGTTAATGGCTCCTAATTAACCATGATAGTCATTTGATTGAATAATCACTTTGGAAATGTTTCTAAAATTTGATTAGAGCTTGACCCATTCTGATAGTCATAAATTCACCAACAGCACTTTTAGAATCATACCGCTTTAGGTCCTTTGGAAAATCAAAATCAAAACTGGAGAGCTTTCTTTTCAAACCAGAGTGTAGTATTTAATCGTATGGCTATGTTAAATGCAAAGTGGTGGATAGCATGAAACTGCTAACATGTCAATTGAAATATTAGGAAATGATATATTTGGACTCATGGATAATTAGATTGCTCACTGCCCATGCAGGTAGTTCTCAACCTATGATCACCACAGTGACCAGAACTTCTGTCCCTAATTGAGACAGTTGTTAAGTGCTCTGCTTTATGACCTTTATTGGCATGGTCATTAAGTGAATTTGGCTTCCTCCATTGACTTTGGTGTCAGAAGCTGGATGGGGGAAAAGAAGAAAAGAATGGAAGTGTACTTACTGACCCTGTGCATTTAGATACATTTTTAACACCAAAGACATTGCTAAAGATGTGTAGATATGCTCAAGAATTCTGCATGTTCTTGTTGCCTTACAAAGCCTTCACATTAGAGATTTAACACATAATCATTTCCATTCAAGAAATAAATGGATTTAAGGCAGAAGCAGTGATTAGAGCAGTGGTTCCCAACCTTTTTTTGGCCATGCCCCACCTAAGCATCTCTAAAATCCTGACCCCCCCCTCTATGACATATAATTCTTATTTTACTCAAAAAGTGAAGTCTACTCATGCATAGGAAGCTTAAAAGCCCATTAACTTGTTTTAAACAAAGGTCAAATTCCCTCCCTGTGGGGCCTGGGCCCCACATTGGAACCACTGGATTAGAGCTTCTGTGTACTCTTGATTCAGTGATACATAGTAAAATTTAAAACATCATAGGTGTTTTTTTTAATGTCAGTATGATTATTCTTTCCCTTTCTTTCTTCCTTCCTTCCTTGGGCTTACTGTGATTCTTAACAACCTTTCGGTAAAAATAGGGATTGCATACCAGGATATGGAATAAGGATCTTACTTGACAAACAGAGGTGGGGAAGGCTTCAGTGCTTTAACACTTCTCTCCATTACCTTGCTTACATATTTTATAATGCAACTAATCATGGGCTACATGCAAAACTGCAAATTATTCAGTAATATGAGAGCACAGCTAGAACAAACATTCTATGATATGCTGCTAATGTTGATATGAAGTTGCATGTTCCATTCTTCTAGTAGTTATTTACTGTTAGTTTGAAGTTTGAGGTGGGAAACATAACCCCAAAAGCTATCATAATAAAGGTAAGTTTGCTTAAATGGAAGGACAGATTGCATTTATAGTATTCTGCCGTGCACTGTTAGTATTTTTAACTGACTTTAAGAAAATATTTCAAGTATTGCAGGTCTAATTTAACAGGTATAGTTCATAGTAAAAAATAATAAATATACGAGGAATAAGGAAATGGATAGATGCTCTTACTGTTATCATTGGCTACACTCACTCAGTGAATTCAATGTAAAATCTCATTTTCTTTTCCCCTAACTCCTTGATACGTATCACTAGTCAGTGAGCAGTGAAATTGAGGATTGAGTTTTGGAAAAGGACTGCACACCACACTGAATAAATTACTTTTGGTCTTTTATTGTTGTTTTCTAATTCTTCAGAGATTATCTAAGAAAAAATATGATAGTATAGCAAACTACATTTTGCTTGCTAGAATGTTAAAATTAAAATTCTAGAAAAATACATGTGAACAGTTTGCTATGGCATTGAAACTCAAGAATAAAATTAATATCCTTCAGAAAAGCTGCAAGTACTGTGCACAAAATATGGGTTGAAACTGCTGACCAACAAGTCAGGAGATTTTGAATTCTAGTCCTGCCTTATGCAACTGACTGACTTTGGGCATTTTCAGCCCAACCCATCTCACAGGAAAATATGTTGTTATCAGGAAAATATGAGCAGAATATTTATTCTCATATTTAAGGAACATTTTGTGTGTAATTAAATATAAAATAAATATTTATTAGATAAAAATATAATAAACAAGTAAGTAATTAAAAGTTATGACAATAGTTTGGAGAAATCTCAGGAGACAATCTATACTCATGAGTAAATTTAAAAATAAATTGTATATTCCAAATTTCTTGGAATATTTGGTGATTAGGTGAAATTAAATAATAGGAAGGTATGTGGCTCTAGAGTAAGTTCCCAATTCCAGAATTATATGTTAAATGGAGAAACTATATAAATTGTCTAAATAAATAAATAATAAAGATATGGTAATTGTATTAATTTTACTATAGCCTCTCATATTTTGGTGGGAAGCTGCTGCTTCTATCATTTCTGGGTTTTTTGTTTTTGTGAAGAATAAAATGGATTTAATGTTAGTATTATACATGAACAATCAAGTTAGTACATGAACAACTGATATGAATATCCCTTCCACTACCGATTACCTATTTCACATTTAAATTGCCAAAACATTAAAAAGCTCCAAGAAACCAGAGGGTGTGGAAAAACCTTGGCAAGGTAGACATAGTTTTTCCTTATCACCACTTCTATTAGAGCAGGCAAATAAAAGAAAAAAAATGTCTGGTGTTTGAACAAAAGTTCAAAATTGTATTTATCAAGTTTTAACTTAATGCAAAAATACTCAGAGTATTAAATGTGTTTGAAAACGTCATTATATATTCGGGTTATATTGATTGAACATCAGAATAAAATAGTGTAAACTTACAGGTAAGTCTGATGTTTCAGTGAAGTTTGATGGAGTGGCTGATTATATGAGATGGTTGGTTTTAAAAATGATTGCAAATGGTTTTATTGGAAAAATCAAATATTTGTAGACCTTTAAAATGAATATGTTTTCTTTCCATCAAAACATCCTTCAAAACTAGCCTTTATTAGTTGAACTGATCAGGATAGTATCAGGATATCTAAATGATTGGAACGCTAAGAAAACATAGAATCATTTGAATTTTAGAATTTGGATAACCCATGACCCGTTGAGTCATATTTTCAGATATATTTCTTTATCTAAATACAATGCAAATTTAAACCATTCATTGGTCTTCCACATTCAGCTGATCCCCTGCAATCTTCCCAAGTTTCTCCAGTGATTTGTGGGAGGGTTAGGAAAGTTGTAAGGGAGGATCATGTGACTATGGCAGTGGGGTGGTAGTGCTGAACAGCAGCAGAGAACAACACTGAAATGGCAAAAACTTTCTAAAACTTTATTTCCTTATGAGTAATGGATCGCAGCATTTTGTAAGTTAATTCATTTGAAGTACCTCTTTCCCCATGATGCATAATTTCACCCATTTAAGGATTAAAGATACAGGATATAGATTCTAAATGGAACCAAGCTTTAGCAGTATTTTTTTTAATGTTCAAATCTGGCTGGCAACATCACTTTCATGTTTGCCATGTGCAGTTTGATTGTTTCAGTCAAACAATTCTTTCACTAATATTGCCTTCTCATTTCAGAAGTGCCTAGTTGCCATTCCATTTACATGAGGCAAGAAGGCTTCCTCACTCACCCAAACAGAACAGAAGTTAAGTCTTTCTGTATATATATATATATATATATATATATCCTTGTATGTATGTGCGAACTTTGTTTTCTTATTGTCTAAAACTCTTGGCTTAGACTAAATATACTAAAAATGGACAGAATTGGAAAAATGTTGTAAAATTGTTCCTGAAACACAAGCTTTCTTAGAGGTACACCTTTTTGTTTTTCTAAATAGCCATATGTAAGCTCTGGAAGACAGGGTTGTGTTTGGGTGGTTTTAATTCTTTATTTCATATTTTTTCAGGTATGGTAGCTTATGGGACAACTCTATGTTACTACAGTAAAAACAAACCTTTTCTCTAAAACAGAAAGTAGCATGGCAAAGTACTATTTATTCTTCAGGTTTAGGTTTATTTTGAACATATTGTGCATTCCCTAGTTACCTATTTTTGTACATCATTATAGATACTGTATATGTCTATCAAAGTAAAGAATAAAGAAAAGGGGAAAAAAAGTGTTTTTATAAATTACAAATCTACCAATAGTGATGCTAACAAGGATGGTCAATAAAATTCATGATAAGAAAAAAAGTGTTCATACTTGTTTTAACTCATTAGTTCATTTAACTGTGAACTTAATTGTGACTTAAAATAGTTTCTAGAGAGGAAGCCTGTCTAGAATTGCCCTGGAGCTGTAAAAACAACCTGACCTGGAATCTTGGCCTGGGATGAGAGCAGTCTAAGAGGACTTCCCAGAATGCCCCGATTCCCCATGAACGAGGAAGCTCCTCCCTTCCTGGTCAGTTGTCTGCTGAGATCTGCCCTGAACACTGCCTTCCATTGTAGCAGTCCCGAGAAAGGCCCACCATGGTGCTACCCTGCCATCCTGAGCAAACTTCTCTCACAGGATTTGAATTGCTTCGCTTTGCAGCTCTAACTAGTTTCCTTTCTACAAGGGGAAGTGTCTTTCAGATGGCTCTTAGCACACGCTAGTTTGTTAAGTGGCTGTCCTAAAGTGACCCTGGGTGAGTCTCTGGCTCTTTACTGCCCCTTCTTGGTGTTCCCCATCCAGTGACTTTGACTCCTGACTGGCAACTTCCTGGCTCTGTTGGACTGTGAAGGATGTGTGCTGTGCACCCCAAAGTTTCCTTTTGGAAAACCAAGAGTGAAAACATTTGGCTTACTTTTTCACTATAGCTAGTCTTTTATACAATAATCTTGTGAAAAGTTTCTTGAATTCTAAATATTACACTTTCTAGATTTTTGAAATCAAAAGTTTTCAGTGAAAAAAAATCCTACTTTATTTTACTATATTAAATAGTAAGAAATGTAGGGTTGTTTGCTATAACCAGTTCATTAATATCAGAAATTTACAATAGCATTGTAAGAGCATAGTAGGGTTCTAGCATCCTGTGCAGTACCTTATGTGGTATTCTAAGAGCTATTTGTCCGAGATGAATTGCTTTTCATCTTGTTAATCAATTCCCATATGTTGGTTTATTGGAAATGTGTAATTTGTGTCAAATTTCAAGATATTACAGATACACCTTTTTGACCAGCAACAAGTTCAACACTTTTTCTATCAGTGTTGTGTCAGAAAACACTATTTATATAACATTTATGTAGCAATAAGTGTGCCATCCTTTTGTAAAAAAAAAAAAAATCTAGATTTTTTAGAGAACTAATTTAGCTGTTATAAAAACTTATTTCTTTAACAATTGACCAGAATTATTTAAAATAATTATTATTTGCTTTTAATTAACAAAATAAACTAAGCTTGTAAGATTACATTTAGGAAAATGCATGGCTTGAGAATACTTTGTACTAAATATTGTAAAATAAATTCTATGCTATTACCATCAGTGTATTTTTATTTCACTATTCATTTACTACATTACTTGGGCCTCCTTTCAAGGCAAGACATTTTGTGTGTGTGAAGGAACAACTGATAGGTGAAGCTTTTCAATGTTTTATTTCACTTGGCAAAATCACAATTTTTTCTACATATGCCAATAAAGTAATTTTGGGAATTCATATTTTATTCTCTCAGCAGACTGTTTTATTGCTAATTAATACTCTAATCTGCAACATTCTAATGAGCCTGGTACATAAAGTATATGTGTCTTGACTCTTAGCTATAGCATTTACTTGGGATTTTTCAGTTTGGAATGTCAATTTTCAAAATTTCTCATGTTTTCTAGATAAAAGTTCTGAAAGTTGGAGTTCCAACACATTGAAGGAGACCAAGTTGGAAAGAGCAATGTATTTTAATAATCTGTTTCTAGTGAGTAATGTGTCTGCTTTTCCTAAAATTACAGGTTGTATGTATGAAAAAGGTCCAAGGCAATTTTATGATGACACTTGTGTTGTTCCAGAGAAATTTGATGGTATGTTATGTACATACATTTTTTGTTCAACTATCCAGTCTTATGGAAGAAATTATATGTAACGAAACCAAAAGAGAATAAAGGATTTTTTACTTGACAAAGCATATAGTAATGATCCAATCAAAGAGAGATAAATATATAATTTGTTATTTATGTGGTTGACCTTTGCTTTTTGAAATCAAAATATGTTTTGCAATCATATCACTCTGTTTTTGAGAGAAAGGATTCTAAATTCAGAACCAAGGCAATATATTTTACTTCTAATTATTAGTTCTAATTATTCCAATGAGTCATAGATAGGTTTTATGTCTTTATCAGTGCATTTGAAATCTATTTTAGAGATTTATTGAAAACGATTAACAAACAGAACAAAATGCAGCTACTCTGCACTTACTAATAATCCAAATTCTTATCTTATATTTCAATCCCTGAAAGGGTTAATTATAGAGAGCACAAGTACATCTGTTTTTCTATGTGTATCAACAGTTTTGTTGATTGTTATAATCTCTTGTATTTCTTAAAACTGATACCTAAAGAGTAAAGTATATAGTATAATACCAAACAGTCTTTAACTAATATCATGTGTCATATGAAGCAAAGCATATTCTTCTCATTATCAGATATCAAACCAGTATGTATTATGAAAATACATACTAATTACTAATAAGATTAAGATTGTTTTTTGTAGTCAAATGAATTTGAATGGATATTTCATGTCACATTAATTGGGTTCCACTTCAGCACTGGGGAAAGCTGCTTTGCAAAACAGACAGCTAAGTGATTTATGTCTTAAATTGATAGTTGTATCAATACTAATAAAGAACCTTTAAAAAAGTAGAGAGACAGTTATGGCAGCCAAAAAACAAGGGAACATGGGAAATGTAATGGTTCTTTCCAACTTTGCAATTTTTTTGAAGTGTATTCAGTCAACATTCTTTGGCTGAAAGTCTTCTGTTATCTACAAAGTCTTGTCCATCACCATTACCTTTTCATTCAGCTGAAGACAGCTAAGAATTTCATTCTTGCTTTTCCCTTTAAATTCATGATAACTTAATCCTCTCCTGAGCTTCTATAGGTGTCGGAAATTTTGATCATTTCTAAAAACCAAAAATCCTCTCCAAAGGGGAATCCAGAGAAAAGCTGTGCTGTCATAATATTCATGTTTACAATAAAAGACTAGTTTTTCCTGTAGAATAGTATAAAAAAAAATCAAGGACTAAAGCATCACTTATTTCATTTGTGTTTTGTGGCACAAGTAAATATTTGATACGGTTTTGATCAAACTACTAACTTGACTTTTCCCTCTCCCCCAATCTTCTGGAAACACTATTATATACTTAATAATCCAATTGTCAGCCTTAAATTTATTCAGAGGGTTTAGTTAATAACATTGATTCACTCAATTTCACAGATAATGAGGTGAAAATTCTCTAAACTTTTCATCTGTATGGTAGTGAGGAACTTTCTATAAACAGGTTAAATAAATGGAGAACTAATTTAATTGTCATATAATGTATGAGATTTTTTTAATCATTCATCTGCATTTAAAAATAATGTCAATATTCATAAGGTGAACAAAAATAATTTCACTTATGAACTTTTATCTGACAATTGTATATTTTGAATATTTTATTCAGTAAGGTGATTTTTAAAAATATGTAATTAACATTTTGTTGGTTCTTATATGAAAAATATAGCTAGCTATATAGCTATGTTAAATTATCTTTGAGCTTCAATATATAAATGTACACTTTCTCAATTAATAGTGCTTTTCAGAAAATTGTGAATAAATAGCTAAGTGATGTGAAATACTAAAAAGGAACTGATTGATCCATAAAATTTGAATACCATACAATAAAACCCTATTATTCAAATACTGTTAAAATTTTTCATATAAGTATTTGCAGGCACTAGAAGATACATACATTGTTTTTCCTAATGAGAGATTATATAAAATGTTGCATACAAATAGAGTCCTTTAGATATCACCATTTCCAAAGCTGGATCTTGCATAACTTTTGATAGTTACTTTCATACTGTATGATTTGACTCTGGAATAAGTAAGTAACATTGTATTTTAATAAGTTTGTAATTAGCTATTTTCTGAAGAATTATAGTGCAGTTTGTTGTCCCAAAGTCATGAATAGTATCCTATTATCAATCCCTTTCTCTCTTCTCTCTTGCTGCAATAGCATCTTTTTTTTTTCTTTGTTGGTATTAAATTTACTCTATCTTTGGGTCCAATGAAATAAAATAAATGAACCCACACTTTCTTTTACATAGGTGACATTAAGCAGGAGCCAGGAATGTATCGTGAGGGCCCCACATACCAGCGACGTGGTTCCCTTCAGTTGTGGCAATTTTTGGTAGCTCTTCTTGATGATCCATCAAACTCTCATTTCATTGCTTGGACTGGCCGAGGTATGGAGTTCAAGCTGATTGAACCAGAAGAGGTGAGTAGGCTCTCCTATATTGCATCTGTGCACTTTAAAACATTGCTTCAGTACTTTTTCTTCTTTATTTCTATATTGCCTTACTAAAACTCAAAAGTAATATGGTCTTATGCATAATGCATCTTTGAAGTCTTTAAATTTATGATTCTGTACATGTATATGACTCCATACACATCAAAGCATGCAAGAATCGACTACACTAGACTTGCAGTCTATTTAATCTACATGTATTTTAATAAATTCTCAGCCCAACAGCACTAGCATTGATTATTGTGAAGAAAATCGGAGAGATCACTTTGTTCCTCACATTGAGATCCTGGAAGTAAAGTAGAATATAAATCAAATAAATAACCTTTCCCTTTATCAGTAAGGTTGGCAAATAGGGATCAGATATGTGTATTGTATACATTTATACTTTGGCTAAGATTTAATTCACACAATATCAAGCATGCTATTGTCTTGAAATTCATTTTTAAAGAATCTAATTCTACCACAGCTCTTAATATCTGAACTGGGCCTATGTATCTTCTCTGTTAGCCTCCCTTTCTTTCTTTATATCCATTTTCATGTGATCTGTGATTCTTCACACCTTTCAGAGTCTCTACAGATACACCCTTTCATATGTAAACAGCCATGCATGGATTTTCAGACTCTATTATACTTTGGAACACATTAAAATCCCCAAATCTCCATAAAGGTGCCAGAGATACTATTCTGTTTGAAATCTTCTTTTACCCAAAAAGAGAGGAATAGAGGAATGCTTAGAAAGGGCTAGAGTTTCTTCTTGAAAGAGGTGTACTGGTATGTTTGGAAGAATTGTGATCCTGAATAGTAAAGTTAAGTTTGGGAAAATGGTGAAAAGATACTTGGTGCAAACCAAAATAGATAAACAATGAAAACTAACCAGCTTTTGTGAGCCTGAATGCCTACTTCTAAGCAAAAGAGAGAATATGAAGGAATGGAATAGGAAGAGTATATAGTGGCCTGTTTTGGCCATCTGAATAGAACATCCCTAGAAATATGTTGATATTCAGTTTTATCCTAACATAACATCAATATTCAAACTTGAAATGTACACAGTACATTAGAAAATCTTGATATTTTTTTCAAAAAACATTTAGCTAACATTGCTAACATTTTTATTTTATTTTTGTTTTCATCAATTTTTCTTTTCAATTATATGTTTATATTATATCTACATTTTGAAAAGCTGCATTTATTTGCATATTATTTATTCTGTATTAAGTTTGTTTGAACAATTTATGATGTTCAAAGATAAATTTATATGGCCATCTCTCTCTCTCAGACAAAAAAGTGACTTTGGAAAGCCACAAGGGTTAAAAACAATTTGCTAAATCAACTGGATGCCCAAAGTTACCATTGCATACCCATTTTATGTCCTGTTGCACTGCAGGTTCTACCAGGACATCAGATCAACATACATTCTTCCTCTATTAGAAAGATTTCTAGGGAAATCAGATAATTTCTTCCTGAACCATCTTCAGAATTTAATGCAGCCACAATTTGTGCAGTAAGAAAATTTTGTGCTGCTGAAATAAGGAAAAAATACCTAAAGAACTAAAGATCTTTATTTGTATTACTATTTTGCTTAATTATTTTCCAATATTTTTTAGAAAATATATTTATTTTAATATTTAAGTTTTGTGCCAGTCGGTGACCATAAAAAAGATCTATTCTGATTCTGATTTACCAGCATGCCAGCTCAAAAAGACAATGTTATCAACAAAAGGCTTCCCTAGCCATCCAGTCCAAATGACCCCAAGAAGAGCAAGGCCTTTAATGAAAGAAATCTGCAGGATATGCCCTCTTTGCTAGATCTAGATCAAGGATAGATAATTGTAGACAGGCAGTTTCATAAATAACCTGGCACTATGCCACATAGTGCTTTATTGGTGACATACATTGAATTGCATCAGAAAACCCATTGTGAGGTCATGCTCACAAAACAGAAAATTTATACTAATATATAACACGACATAACATAATGTAATATAACGTTGCTATACTACATAACAGGAAATGCACCACTGCATTTTGGACCAGTCATTGCCTCTGTACTTTCTAATGCAGAGTTAATGATGGAAATTCTCTGGATCAGAGGACCTTAAAACTCACATCTACTTAATCTTGATTGATTCAGGTGAGCTGAAACCTTCTTCACCATCTAAATTTCCAGGCTCTGGGAAAAACCTTTACAATAGCACTTTGGTTGATCCAGGGTGCAGATTTATTTATTTAGTGTATGTAACAAGATGGATATATACAAACAGATATCATTAGCCCACTGACATTATTTATAGATGTGAGTATCAGCAGTGGTTTCACACAGGTGTCAAATAGGTACATGGAGGCAGTAGAGCTCTAAGACAACCTACAAAGCTGAGGTTTCAAACTCAAATTGTTCCTTTCCTCAATATAAACTAGAATTGATCCTGGCAAAAGGAAGAAAACCACAGGAACATCATGCCTGCCATACTAGTGGTGGGTTTCTCTCAGTTCGGTCTGGTTTGGCCGAACTGGTAGTAGCAGTAGCAGGAAGTGCAGAAGGGTCCCGAATGCATGGGAGCGTTCCTGAACCAGTAGTGAAAAAATTGGCAACCCACCATTGTGCCATACCTGTAAGCCAGTCCAAATGATACCATGACAGATGGCATCAAAAGTCCTGAGAGATCAAGAAAGATAATAAAATATATCAAAGTGCAATTGATCAATGCAATCAACCACCTCATTACTATGGGCAGGCCTAAATGCTGACAGGAAGGGGTCAGATAAAGCCAGTTTTATCAAATTTATAAAACAAATTTTACAAAATGTAACAGATGGGTGCTAATCTTTCTTGGTGACAGGTGGCACGGCGCTGGGGCATTCAAAAAAACAGACCAGCCATGAACTATGATAAACTTAGCCGATCACTTCGCTATTATTATGAAAAGGGAATCATGCAAAAGGTGAGGAATTTGTATTTTTTGTAGTGAAATATTGCATGTTAATTTATAAACTTGTTTAAAAATTCAAGTATTTCTAAACTGCATATCCAGTATGACCAATATAAGGAAATTCACTAAATGTGTAACTTTTAAATTTTCTTATGAAACCTTCTCCCCAGCCTATTATTTCAAAATCCATGACTTAGAATGTGAACCTTGATGTAAATTGAAACGTTATAGTAGGGTTTTGGTCAATTTTTGGAAATTTTTCCACACCATTAACTGATTGGCCTTCCTAATGCCTCTGTACATTTTTCTCCTTCACATACCCTCATGTCAGGGATAATACAATCCTCTTGCAAATATGTTTTTAACTTCCTTCAAAACCTTTTAAGGAGCCAAGACTCAAATCTGAGGCAGTAGTTTTCTTCCAAAGTTTCAGAAAATAAATAGAAAACTGTTACCCTCAATTATAAAATACACCTGTGTGTGTGTGTGTGTGTGTGTGTGCGCGCGCGCGTGCACACACACACACACACACACACACACACACACACATGATCGTAATTATAATGGTTCAATCTTTTTTGGTCTTCATTTTGACACTGCAGTTGTTTTTATGATTGAAACTATACCTGTCATTCTTATCCTATCATTTTATTTTCATAATAATTTCCTTAATGCATAAATATGCCTAACTTAATATTAATTAATATAAATTTGAATAATAAATTTGATAAATTAGTAAATAAAAGGTTAAGAATGCTGAGAGAGGATTAGAAGATTTCATATGTTGCCAGATGATGGTGGCCAGAATCCTTATCCATTAGCTATACTACTTGGGTCTATTAGAGCAGTGGTCCCCAACCCCCGGTCCACGGAGTACCTGGCACCGGGCCGCGCAGCGGCCGGGGGCCATGATCGCTGCAGCGGCCGGGGGCCATGATCGCTGCAGCGGCCGTGGGACATGATCGCTGCAGCGGCCGGGGGACATGATCGCTGCAGCGCAAAGGCTCCTGGGCCGTCGTGAACAACGCCCTCCCACCCCTGCGCGCGCTCAGCGGGCCACGGTAAAATTATCAAAGGCTGACTGGTCCGCGGCGATAAAAAGGTTGGGGACCACTGTATTAGAGGATGTATTTCTGTAATATCTGAAGATCCCAGCACTGAAAGGAAGAAATACAGTGATTGGCCTAAGATTATTTGATTTCAGTGGCATGTTGGTGATTTCAATTTTGTTTCCCCAACTTAATCCAATACTTACACTAATAATCAGAATAATTATAGAAGTGAATTCAATATTCAATATATCTACTGTCTTTTCTTAATCAAAACATAATGGTGATTCCTTTTTAAAGCCAATCTTATTCACTTGTTTTAAATGAACACTGTAAAAACCAAATTAACCAAAATACAAATAGGCATTTGCTCAAGGGGGGAAGTAAAATCAAAATCTGATGAAAGCAGTATTTCATTAGGCCAATGGTACATTTGTGAATTAACAGCTTTTAAGCTTCCAAGAATGCTTTATCAGATAAGAAAAACATTTTATCCAAAATAGAAGGGTCTGTGAGTAGGAAAATATATGGTTGATGCTAACCAAGTTAGCATCAGATTAACATCTCTGAGTGTTCAAGTTGCAAGAAAACATGCAAAGCAGACCTTATAATGGCGGCCGGGGGGAGGATGTTGTGTTCTTTCAAGAATTTGCCTCAAAATTACGAGGATGAAAAAGAGACTGTCATTGAATAGTATGCAAACTTTCTATTACAGTTTCTTTGGAAAAAATATCCATAATAAAACCCATGCAGAAAGATAAAAGTTCTGCCACTTTGCTGAAGACAGGCACAAAAAATGGTGGAATTCAAAAGCCATCAGCTTTTTTATACTTGTCTCAAATGACCACAGCCTCTCTTTTCTGAGCTCTTGCGAAAATAACATCTTGATCGAGTCCATTATCAACTTACTTTCTTGAAGATGAATGTTTTTCTGATCAGTTTAGTCACCCTCCACATCAAAATAGCCTGATGGTATCTAAATACTCAAAGTTTCCAATGCACTTTTCATCCATCATAAAGTAAAAACAGAAAACCAACCCCATTTGGCATAAAGAGCCAGGAACAACTAATACAGCATCAGGTGATGTGATACAGTCTAACTTCAATTGCTTCAAGCTTCAATATGGCTGAAGAATAGAATTGTAACTTTAAAATATATATTGGAAACTAATAAGACTGTCCTTGGCCTGTCTAATCTTGTGGGCACTTGTCTGGCAGTTGTCTCTTCCTTTGTCCCTCTTCTTTTCCTGCATTTGGGACAGCAGAAGCTTATTAACAATGAGTCATAGGTTTGGATTGTTCAATATATTTTTCAAATTAAAACAGTAATGAAATTCAAAAGAATTCTTTATGTTGGGATTATTTTTTTTAATTATGTTCCCTGAACTCTAGGGTCTTCTTTTTTTTTTTTTTTTTTACAAAATATTGGTAGAGTTCTATGATAGACTAAGAGGAAAAGAAAAAGTTCGTACAGACTCACCTAATTTTTCTATCGCTGGAGCTTGTCTTTCATCAAGAGTTCTAGGATATTTTTTAAAATGAAGTTTCTACAGCCTGAAAAAGTTTGAAAATCCCTATTCAATGTGATTTTTTAAAATAGTAAAGCCATTAATCTTCCATGTCATTCATTGTCGTCTAATTTTTGCCCAGTTTTCCTTGTGCATCTTGTTTTCTGTGTTCCTGATGCACAAAATATTTTTTGATACTCCTATATGGCTGCAAAAGAAAATTGTACTTCTATCTCTTACAGCCTTTCTCTTTTCCACCCTTCTCCTTCTTTAACATTGCTCTTAAGGTTGCTGGAGAGAGATACGTGTACAAGTTTGTTTGTGACCCTGAAGCCCTCTTCTCCATGGCCTTTCCGGATAACCAGCGTCCCTTGCTGAAAACTGACGTCGAACGTCATATCAATGAAGAGGACACTGTCCCTCTGTCCCACTTTGATGAGAGTATGGTCTATATGCAAGAAGGAGGCTGCTGTAATACCCACCCTTATAATGAAGGCTATGTATATTAATTGGAGTGACAGGAGTGGAGCCCCCTTTTTCATCCTAAGCTTCTCCCTCTTTCATGAGACCAAGACAAAAGCTGAATTCCCGTCAGTTGATTTTATAAGAATAAGGATTAAAAACTGTAAAAAAGAATAAAAGAGTACTATAAAGGGGTTTCTTCTGTTGTATTACTCCTGTAGTCTGACATGGACAGTGCACTTTATTTGAAAAGGGAAGTTTAGAATCTAATTGTTTATTCTTTGGAACAAGGGTGGAAAATACAGGTTTTAAGTACAACAAAGCTGTATCATGTCTGAGTTTGTTTCTGTTTCTTACTTGGTTAAAAATAATGTACATGTTCTCTAATTACCCATAGTACAGTTAATTCTAGACATGATCAATAACCATTTGTACACTACCTGGAGAATTATCTGTCAGGGACACTCTTCCCTCTCTCCCATTTTCACTATAGTCTAGCCATTTTTCCTGTCTTTTTTATTGCTAGACAGACGTTATTTATCCCTTATAAAGATTGAGCTTTGCACATTCAGAATATGTGCTCTACCACTGAGCTAAGTACCAATAATGCTAGATTTGAAAACTAGAATTAGATTTATAGTTTTGCTCCTTAAAAGACAGGATCCACTTTTATTTTATCTCTTTAAAACATATCTATGTATCTTAGACACCACCTTGATTCTGTATACAAGTCATTAAGGAAAGCATTCATTCTGGTCCAAAAAACACAGTTCCTGGTTTATGATTATAAATTGCAAGGCTGTAGCTTAGCTTCTGATATCAGGTGCCATCTTGTTATGCAAATACATCAACATTTAATCGTTTTCAACTTTTCAATGTCCACCTGAGTGTAGTAATTGTTTATACTGAACTATTCTGCATATTCTTTTAACTTTATGTACAGGACTGTGATCACAAAGGGTGAGACAGAATGCTGTCCTTCCACTTTCTTTGATTCATAAATAGGTTATTTAATCAATAAGAATTAACTGTACTAGTTCTCATATCTTATTATGCTATTTCAATCCACAGCAGTTTCTCCTTCAGCAAAGCATCCAATATACAAATAAGTACTTTAGTAATTTTTAGACACAATATCCAATAATACGCATTTTAGCCTTTATACTGCTGTGTTATGTTGATAAGCATATATACATACTAGCTAATGCTATCGCTTCTGCTGCTGTCTTTATTCCTGTAATACTCTCTTTGCTGAATTTACTATGCTCTTTATAAGCAATGCTGTAACTACAGGTAGTATTCAGGACAAAATAGATGACTTGAACCTTTTACTGTTTAGAAAAATAGCTTATGCCATAGCTGTGCTATATACAGCTTTTATGTGCATTGCAACATGGATAGGACTTTCCAGCTTGCTAAAGAGGAACTCTGCTGAACCTTTTATAATGCTCAATGGAGCAGAGACCTCTACATAATATCAAAAATACAGTTATTTTTTTTCTTTCTTTTTGGGCTGTATCATGTAGTGCTGGCACTGATGCTTAACAATTTTGTTGGGACACTAATTGTAAGTGTGATTAGGTAAGTTTGGAAAACCCTTTAAAAGTTGTTTTAATTTTGGGGAAGGCAACATTGAAAAAAGACAAAGATCTTATTCTTAAGTTCAAATTAAATGAATAATATTTAAGAATACCTTATCTTCAGTGTTAACTTTTTGCATTGGAGCAGGAAATAGAAAGCATGTTTGAAGTTTGGAGAGTGGTTTTTCAAACCACTTCTCTTCCAGAACATCCATCCCAATAGTCATATACATACTTTGCCCAGAAATCATCAACTCTGAAATAGAGAAAGGGCGGATAGGAGTCCATAATTATTAGTTTCAAAAATAATGTTTCATTGTAAATGACATGATATCAGAGATGCGGGGATGTGGTGATTTACTTTGCACTCAGTGTTAGTCAAGAACCCTATAAATCTATAAATGATTTATAATGCAATTCATTTCAGACTTAATGAGTATTAACCACTATAAACCACAGCGGCAACAGAGCACACTGGGCCTGCATCTCTTTCACCCTAAAACATTAAGAGAGTTTCATGTGTGCATGTTAAAAATTCCATGGCATGTTAACCTTACAGAAATCTCTGCAAAAAGTGCTTCATCTTATCCCTGCCATTGTTCAATGGCAAAATTTCTGTAGTTGGCTATAAAATTTGTTTTTTTTATTTTGTTTTTGAAAAGCTACCATTGGGATAGAATCAGTGACTTTAATCATGATGCCTACTGATGTCTCTATTGACCTTCCCTAGACTTTCCTCCTCACCTAACTTAAAAATGGGAGGGTAGCATTTTCAGAGTGCCAACTTCCAGCTGTCTTCAATCACAGTTATGCTTTAAAAAAAGTTCTGCTTATTAAAAAAAAACAGTTGGGGAATGTCTGCTTGCCCACTAAGAGTATACCTAAGTAAATGATGTGATAGAAGTCCTGGGAATATATATACATTTGTCATCTGGTAGATGATTGATTTTTATCTGGCTGCATCCATTATGGCAGCCATTTTGTTTGTCATCTCTGTCGATCTTTTTTTTTCTGAATAAGGTACCTAAAATTCCAAATGTGTCCCCCAATCTTAACAACAAAAGCATCTTTGGAGGAGTCAAGATCTCTAAAGTGGCAGGTGCAACATCACAATTGAAGCCCCACCTCTTGTATGTACATACAAAAGGGTAGGGTACTGATGTGATTGCACAGCTGCTCTCTTGCCCTCTAACCTTTTGATCCTCTAACAAGAATTTAAAATAAGGTTTCTCCTTGCCTTAACTGCTAAGTTAGGGCAGAGAAACATACTCTAAACAAGGTGTATTAAATAAACTGACTGTGAAGCAGAAGAGGTGACAAAGTATACAGGCTTAAAAGTCCTTACAGGGAGAAGCAAGTATCTTTACTAGAAACTTGAACACATTCTGCTTAATGATAATTGTATCTTTATTCTTTCAGGTAGCCAGACATTAAAGCATATTGAGTCAATTCGCAAGGCCAAGGTTTTTATTTCCACCCCTCAATGCCCCTCTTACTGGAAATATTAATTCACCACCCTTATTGATAGCCTCAAAGGTAGCATTTGATTTGACCTGGGATTATCAGTCTTCTGGCCTCAGTTCACAGAATATCTGAGTACACCTTCAATCTCCTGCATCACGTTTGCATTTTTAATGGGTAGGGGTACACAGAACATGTCACCTGATAGCAAAAAAGGCAGAACAAACTCCTGGTGTTTGTTCTGAAACATATGGATTAATTCAGATTTAAAAAGCCACTTTTTAACTGACAGATCTCCAATATATGTCCCACTTAAATAAAAGGTTCTGTGGTTACTTTTGGTCCTGGTTTTATTACAAGGAACTGTTCTTTGAAGAGAAAATATTAGGTGAATGGGGTAGTTGAAAAAAAGAAAGCCTAAGGCAAATGTCTTAATATTTAATATATATCTATATCTATATACTGTATATGGTAGTGATTCACTGAACAAAAAGATAATTCCCAGGGGGAAAATGGTATAAGAATTTGTTATCTGGAATTGTTGGATCCTTTTGAAATTGTACCTTTAAAAAAAGAGTTTATTTTAAGTTCTGTTTTTATTCCACATTTTTCCAGGTAGATTAATAAATCTGGCAGCTGATTTCTGAAAGATGGCTTGAATGTCTAATGATTTTATTTTTATTCATTCAACGTAACTGAAAGGCTTACTGGAACAAAGCAAAGATGTCTCTATTTACTGCATTTACAACACCACAGCAACTATTATCATAGTTAATGCATAGCTTGCTGCTAAAAAAATTCCCCAAATGAAGGCAATTTTTTTCTAAAAATAAAGAAAACCCATTTCTTTGAGTAATCACAATGGGTTGTTAACTGGTCAATCTTACTTGGAAACACAGTACAACATTACAATATTTCAAATCAGGACATGCATCTCTTTCCTCACTTTATTGGTGGTAGCCTTATCACATATACTTGTTGCCTTTTCCATATGTAGTCAAAATTGTTCTAGCTTGTTATTTCTGAGATCCCTTTCCTTCAGTCTTTTCCTTTTAAAGGCACCTTCATAAATAGTAACTCATCCAGTGTTGTTATGGGGATGATAAATATGGAAATTACATTTGAGGTCAAAATCTGCCACCAAAGCTTCTTGTAAAGGTATGTGGGAATAACCTTGGAAGACAAGAAGAGCTATAGCCTAGATATGGTCAGATAATTTAAATTTGATTCCAAAAAAAGAGAGGTGGTAAAAGCATCCCTGAAGGGAGCCTCCCCAATTTTCATGAGAGTAAGAATGACTGTCACACGTTCTTTTAAGTAGACCCAAGTCAATGGGCTTCAAGAGAACCAACACAACAACCCAGGTCCATAGGCAACCCACACACAGATTACTACTCACTATTCCTTATTACTACATTTACTTTACTTCAACTACTACTACTTATAAGTCATACTACTGGAGAAATGTATTTTTCTAACAACTTCAAGCTCTTGGGTTATTTTATTTCCGTATGAAAACATACACTTTCTTCCCTCTCTTCCACATACTAACATTACCCATTCCAGCATAGCTTTTATAGCCATAGTTGCCATAGTTGGCTGGAGGGAAGGCTTAAAGGGGCAGACAATAGCTGGCCAGGTGCTGACCATTTTCTAGGCAGCCTGCTTTCCCACAAGGAATTTTCAAACTTGCAAGATAGTGTTAATAGAATGTTACAATAAAAATGAAGTTACTATTCCTATTGTGGTTCTAGGCTGGACTACCTCATAAGGCAGCTCTCTCTGGCTGACAGCATGATGAACAGGATAGTTTGTTGGTTATAATAATGGGAGAGAGTAAAAAAAAGATGTTAGGGCAGCTACATATAGCATTTTGCATACATCCCGTGGCAATAATGTCCCTCCACTGCTGCCAGACACAGGGAAAAACAATGAAGCAATACATGGATAAGAATTACCTGAATATGCTCAATGAGGAACAAATGCAAAATAGAGGAAATAAAGAAAAAGAAAATTGTACATTACACTCTAGACATAAACCCTTGGTTACACCTATTACAGACTGTCTTCATGATGTTTACACTTTAATCTTTATTTTTGATTCACTGAAACATGAGGAACACCTTAATCCCAACTCTCAAAAGTGTTAACCAAGAAGAAAAAGGGAATGGAAAAGCCAGACAGTTATGTTCACAAATCTCAATATTTGGTAGGATTTGGTCAATATTTTTTTTGAATATGTTCATTGTAAATTAGCTTCAGTGACTATTTAAGGTAACACAATTTTTTAGTGTCAGGTGTCCTGATTTACTGGAGATTGAAATCTATCTGAACATCAAGTGGATCAGGTTCAAATTCAAGTTAAGAATAAAATTCTTGAAGCCAATAAGCAAGTGGAATTCTAAAATGTTTGGAGAGAACATTAACTCTTCTTGAGATAGAGAATGAGCTTGAAGTTATCAATAGCACATCAGTTAAATAGTTTTCCTTCCTGTTTGGGGTTTTTTATTTCTCTAAAAATATAGCAATTATTTCTAAATTAACTTCTTAAATATTATGAGATCCTGTATTTCTAGAATTTTAAATATAACTTTGCAAGTATTTTTGAATCACAGTTTCCAGTATCTGTCACTTTTGGCCATGATAAGGCCAACAAGAACTTTCTGATTCAGGTCTCTGATAAGCCACAGTTTGTCCACCTTCAGTATAGTTTTTCATTATTTGGCTAAGTAATTCCATTTTTATAGTCATCTACAGTAGGCTTTTATTTAAAATATTTTGAATTTACAGTTTTGCTTTTTAACTGACTTGGCTTTGTCCCTTATGCTTTGGCACTCTGTGTGAGTTGGGGAGTTGTTTTGCTGTTTACATTCAGCGCTTTTCCTAACCTGTTACCCTTTGATGACTTCCACCTTTTCCATAGTTCTCTAGCTGAAATGGTGAAACTTGTAACACAGCATGTCTATTGGGCTGCAGGCTAGGAAAGGCTGGTTTACTCAAACCATCTGTGTGGTTTTGGCTGTAGTTAAAAGTGCAAACAGTATTTTAGTTTACTATATATGGTAGTGACATACAATGCCTAAAGGCAAGTAACTATTGCCATAATCTTTTTTTTTAAAAAAAAACCAAGTTAATGATCTATAGTTTCTGATCTGTATTAAAATCAGGGGCACTAACTTAGATATGAAGTACAGAATAGTACAATCTACACAACTATTTTTGTCATATACATGGTTTTCTTATCTGAATACTTCAGTTATTCTTATTGTGATAAAATAATAATAGTTTTTATTTGGAATTGTTCATCAAGGCATCCATAAACACCATAAAGAGTTACACATACATATAAACATATCCAACTTTTCAAATATTACTTAATCAAATTGAGCATCATTATTACATGCTTTCATAGCTTGTTTATAGCACAGTCTTATAACAATAACTTTCTTTGAAATGACATAGACGATCTCTTCAAGAAAAATATCAATAGGTTCAGTGTGACTTATTCCCTGGAATCATTGTTTATATAATCTAGATTAGCTATCTTTCTTTTTCTTGACTGCTGAAAATTAGCAGTATCAATTTGTTCCTTAAAATTTGGTGTAATCATTTGGAAAGTCATAGTGCTGCTCACTTATGAAGAGTTACCTATTCATGTAGAAGCCATTCGTTTACAAATTACAATTGAGAGATCTTAGAATGACCATGAGGACTTCATCTGTGTCCCATTGCAGGTTAAACACAACAGCAAGTAATACAGTTTCCATACCCTCCCCTGTATGAATCCTAACTGGAAGACATATAGATAATCCATTTCATCTGGAACTCCCAGAAGGGAAGATTGGTGACTAAATAGAAATTATTAAGATAATTTGAGTAATAGCCTTTTACACTGGGAAGAATGTGCATCACTGTCATCTTTGAGGCTGATGGTATCATGAGCATATATAATTTACAGAGAGGTATCCTCTAGTACTCAGCCTTGTTCAGGCTATGGTTTCACCAAAAAGCATGTTTTTGATAAAATATGTTATTTTCACTTAGCTAGGTTTTAGTCTTGCATGCCAGACCTCTTTTCTCTCCTGCAGTCATGGAGGAGTATGATCCTATTGCAATGAATCTACACTTAACATAACCAAACTGAGTGGAAGACTTTCCAGAATCTAGTACTTTCAACAATTTAGCACCCAAACACTGGGTTGTACTAGGAAGCTAACAGGGCAGTGGAGCCAAGATTCCTATTAATTGACTGATTGACATTATTATATGGCCACCCATCGCACATAGCATGATTCTTATCATGTACCCCTTTTCCTGTAATGATCTGCTCCATCACACCTTTTTTTGCTAGTCACTACTACTATATTCCAACTGTCCAGCTCTCTAAAGAGGACCTCTCTCATTGTCCATTCCTGCCACACTTGAGTGGGTGGTACGCTTTCTTCTAATAAGCTAAATCAGAATGGATCACAGAACACTGTCTGACGTATTACATTACAGACCTTCTTACTAGGCCTCTCTCCACTTGATGTCCCCTATGTCTCTCATTCCTGAATATGTTACTGATCA